ACACGCTGCGACGGCTCACAGCCCTGGAAGGGAGCTCAGACCCCTCGTAGTGCCCTTAGGGCGCGAGTCAAATCGTGGAGCTCCCATTCACTCAAACCAAAGACCTTTATCCTGAGTAAAGAACAATCGTCCCTACGGAGAAGTCAGGGCAAAGAGCCCCCTCGTAGGGACAGAGCAGACGGTCTCCCGCTGGAGAGAACCAGGAAAGGTTCGTCATGCTGGGACACGCCGCTGCCCCTGCCCTACCCTGCTCCCGGGGGCAGAACCGGCCACGGCCTCCCTTTGCCCCCGCGCATCGCGCACCCTCCTGCTGCGCCTTGGCACCTGCCTGACTTGCTGCCCTGGCCAGGGATGGGGTGAAAAGGGAACGCTGAGGAGGTGATGACCTGGTGACATTTTCCTATAGCCCCACTCCAGGATGCGGCCGTGAGCGTGCACCGGTGCCGCGCTGCCTCTGGAACCTCCCCGTGCTTGGAAGTCTGTTGCATCAACCAATTTGACCTTCTTTAAAAGGTGAGGTTTTATATTTATACATTAATATACTTATTTAAATACTCTTTAATATTTACAGTGTCTGTTTCTGCTAAAAATTGTTACATGTACCCTCAGAGAAAGGATGAAACAGAAATACAGTAAGGTGACATGAAGGGTGAGACATAAATCACAAAAGCAAGGGCGTTAAGAGCTTAGGCTTCCAGGGTATGCTGCTCCTGCTCTCTGTCTACTGCAGAAGTCCCCTAAATTCCCTTTGTGGGAAACCATGCTAGTTTTCTACATGGAAAACTCTATCATAACGGACACACAGTTAAATCCTAACCTGAATTAGTCGTAAGAAAATAAAAGTACGTACTACTGCTACGGATAGGAACTACTTACTGTATATAGCGCCTTTAATTTGAAGATCTGAAAGTGCTTATAAATAATGAACTAACCCCCCCTGCGAGGTAGGTAAGTATTATTATCCCTATTTTACAGATGGGGAAACTGAGGCATTAGAGAGGCTAAGTGACTTGCCCAAGGTCACAGGTGAGGCAGTGGCAGAGCAGGGACGAGCCCTCAGAGGTCCTGCTGGCTAATCCTGCGCTCTGGCCGCTGTGCATGCTTCCTCCCCGGGGCCCACACGTACAAATACTTGAGTATTTACATATGTACCAGTAAGTGAATAATATACAAATGCGATTATCCGAGTAATCTGCAGAGATATGTCAGTTAATTTCTTGTTTCTTGAAACAACTTCTTTAATCTCTGACCTGAGTACAAACACCTCCTACGTCTACTTGATGTTCTTAACCCTGGATGTTACTTGTTAACTTTTTAGTCGGTGATCATTTGTGGGTGTGCTGCTTTAAAAAGCCAGGTGAAAATGGCACCGGGGGTGGGAGGTGAGAAATGAAGCGACATCAAGAGCAAGAGACCTAAAGGACAAGAGGTTGAGATCTCTCTTATTCCTAATTCTAAACTCCTTGCACGTGTCTAAGGATTATTAGTGAAGCCCACAGACCAGAGGCCAGGCGTGTCCCAGCTGGAGCACAGCTGTGCCCCTTGAACCCAAGCCAAGGGAAAGTTGAACTCCTCACAGGGGAAGCTCGGAGTGTCCCATCAGCTCCTCCCCGGTCACCTGCACGGGCAGCACAGGGGTAGTTCACTGATTTCTCCGAAGGAAAGAGTAACTTTCACTGAGACATGTTTTCTTTTTCAGCAGTTGAAAATGGGAAAACGTTACTGAAATCCCAAACACTGACTGCGAGTGAATTAAAAAAAAAAACCAACAAGGTTTTGCTTATCAAATGTATTTTTCACAAGGTACTTTAATTTCCTGCCCCTGAAGCTCCTGTTTTAGAGTATAATAATAATAATAATAATTCACCAGCTGCTATAAAGCCTATTGCTACCAAAGGGGATGCATAGATGCTGTCAAACAGAATTTCGCCTTTTGGGGGACCCAGCTGGCAGTTTTGCAAACTCCTGGATGCACGTGTTAATCACAGCCAAATCAGAGATTAGTGTGAAATTCCAAAGTCAGCTCAGACTAGCCCGTAGCTGGGAGCTAGGAAGCATCTGAGTCATGAAACAAATCCCAGGGGAGCCCCAGCCGAGCAGCCCTGCGATATGTGTCCCCTCCCACCTTTAACATCGCGGTTATCCAGAGTTTTGCAGCCGGCGTTCCCCATCGTGCCGCTCCAGCGCGGCAGTTCCCACCCCTGCCCCTTCGTCGGCACGGAAGGGATTTGCGGCGCCCGGTGTCACTTTTACATTTTTGGGGGACGCTGCGGCCGAGTTAATGGTGTTACTGGGAGCTGTTAATGCAGCGCTGCTTCTGCCTGACACAATACAATCCTCACCAGCAGCAGCGCGCTTGCTCCTGGGGAAAACTTAAAAGGCCTTTCTACTGTCGAGGACACGAACCCTGCTTCTGTCCCAGCCTGAAGCTCAGTTGATGTAATCCTTACAACCACACTTGAATTGTCTGCATTCTTTCCCGTGACACAGGAAATACCATAAAGATTTGCTGGCCCCACGTCAAGTGGAGTTCATAAACTGCGGCGTGGTTAGGTGAGAAATAAAATGATTCCAACCCCTTCCTTCATCCCCCTGTAGCAGCTCTTGCTAATATTAATCCTTCCAGAAATGTGTTCCGTTTGGTTTATTAAACTCTAAGGCTTTTATCGTGAGCTGCTTTCAGTTGGTTCTGACTGCAGCTCTCACCTACCGACGGATTTGCCTCTTAAAAAAAGACGGGGGTGCTGGATTTCTTCAGGAACGATCAGCAAGCTGCTTCTGACCCTCGGATTTTGCAAGTCTCCTCGTGTCGCGCCAACGTCGGTTTGCTCAGCCTTTCGTAAAGGAAGAGGAGATGCAGTTTTCAAAGACAACTCGAACCCTGCAATTAGTGTGAAAGCCTGAAATCTGTTGATACAAAAATGCTTTTCACTCTGCCTTAACTGACACATCTAGAGGCTTAAATATTTTGGGCTTTATACCGCATGCTGGTAACAAGACTGGTGTCGTTTAGAAGCAAGGAATACAGAAACGTTTTTGAGTCTCTGCTCCTAGGTGCGGATTTTTCTTGACACCAGAGCCGGCCTAGAGCCGTGGTCTGTATGGAAAACTTCCCGTGAGCCCGGTGTGTTGGCGTCTGGAACTCTGCCACAGGCGCTGGCTGCATCGGTCCCATCTCTCTCTCTGATGCGGGGGTGCTCCATCACGACCTTTAGGCCAGGCTGTACAGGTGCCCAAAGGGAAAACCCAACAAGGTGGTTTTCCTTCTCGAGAGGAGGGAGCCAGGTTTCAGAGGCAGAGCATCCAGCTGCAGGTGTCCCAGCATCTCTTCCCGGGGCGGGGGGGGCTGCTGTCGTGAGAAATCCCTCCTGCCACCACGAGAGCTGCTCCTGCCCCTTGCTGGTAAAACCTGACCAGTGCCCACGGTAGGTGTAGACTTCCCAGCATTATGCCTTTACAAAGGCAATTCACAACAAGAAGAGGTGATTTTCGGCAGCCACCCTTGGGATCAGCTCCAGCTCACGTAAGCTCTCCGGGGACAGACCCTTCAGCGTGACCGCAGCAATGAAGCGCCGTCATACGGGAAAGGCCGGTCCTGAGCTCCCCATCAGCTTCCTCCAAGCGAGCAGCTGACTAGTAACAGCTCTGAAGTGGTGGTAAGCAAGCGCCAATCATCTGTGTTTCTTAGCAACAGCGCAGCAGAAAGTTCAAGTATCACGTTGTTTAAAAAAAAAAAAAACAAAAAAAAATTCACCGTTAAAAATTCAACCATTTTGCCCTTGATGGGGTTGTCTTCTCCCCTCTCTGATGCTCCTTAGGACAAAAGCAGTGACACTGCTAGGCTACCACAGCTGGGGAAATAAAAGGTAACGTCTACTGCCGCACTCCTTTTTGTTGCCCCTTAGAAAAGGAACTGCAGAGACGTCCCAGGCTGCCAGATGCAGTTTGAGCTGCTATTGCTTAGGTTGCTTTTCAGAAATGCAGCTCACAGGCCTGGGGAAGATGGTCTCTTTTAGCACTGGCCGTACACCAGGGGGATGGTTTTCTTCCTAAAGCCTGACCTCCCGTCAGCGAGGCAGCAAAAAGCGAATGCAGCAGTGGAAGTAAGATCAGGAGTTGCAAAAAAACCCAGCCACAGCGCGAGGGGTGGGGCGTCAGGGCCAGGCTCGGGGCTGGGGTTTGGTTCAGCCCCTTAGAAGGAGGAGAACCGCGCTGAGGTTTGCGGTTCAAGCAGCCACAGCTGCTCTGGGGGTCGGTTCACCCACGCAGAAGTTGGCAGCAAGGCCAGGTGCTGGCTTCTGCTGTCAGCCTCCCTGGAAGGTCATTCTGCTCCCTACAGGGGGAATTTCCCATGGGGCCTGGGTAAATAAGGAAATCATGACCTGTTCTAGCTGGATGACCAAAGGGGTCTCTTGCTCAGTAACAATGTACAGTAGTAATAGAATAACCTGAAAACCCCCACACAACCGAAAGAATCAGAGGTCGTATTGCTTAAAGAAAACAAAAAGCCAGGTACAAGTTGAAACCCTTTCTACAAAGATTTTAAATACGATTCTCGGCCTCCTGCTAAGCCACTGCTCACCAGCCGGTTGTGTTGCCAAGGCAAACTGAGCAGGATGCAGAGCTGACGGTGTTGGATAGCAGCAGTGATAACCCAGCAGCGGTGGGGTGATGATGGGAGCACTGGAGAAATCCTTCCCTCGGCCACCAGCGTGTCTGAAGTCTGGGGTCTGAAGACTAAGAGCGCATCTGAAGGGATTCCCATGGTTTATAGTGACCTTATAAATGGTGAAATCTTTAGTTTAGTATTTGTGAGTGGAAAGAAAAGTAAAATAAAAAGAGGTGCAGCTGGCTATAAAATAGGCTAAACATAGTAGTTTACACTTTCTTTTTTTCTTTTCACCTGTGGACAGAAAGGAAATAGTAATGCTGAATCAGATGAGAGCAAACAATTACAAATAATTGGCTACGTTTTCCAGCAAGTGTTAAGATAGCTTTACTTATAGCCGAGTTGTGACGTGATCCTCCTGCCCGTCTTTCCACTGGTTTATAAACAAGTCACAAGCCTCTCCCCACGAATCAAACACATCCTCTGAGGAGTCTATAAGTTTGGAATTGGAGGAACAAATACTGGAAGCACAGTGAAGGGAGCTGGTACAAACCACAGGGCACTCCTTGCTCTGTCCTGTGAGTCTTGTCTTCCCACTGTAGTCCACCTCATTGAGGTTAATTTCGCTTTTGGAACAATTCTCTTCTTTCTCTTTATCAATCTGAGAATATTTAATGTCTTTCCACATGTAGTGTGGCTGAATAATTCCGTCTGAAATGGTGTACATGGGCTCTGAATTTGGTTCAGGTACGTGCCCGTTCATCTTGGAGAAAAGCAGGCCCAGTCTCTTGAAGGACTCCTTCTTGGAGCTGGAAAGTCTCTGAACCCTATTTCCATTTCGGACAAAGGAGCGCTTGCCAATCCCATTGCTTTTTGGCTTCTCTTCCACCATATCGATCCCAGACATAGTTTTAATTAGAGCAGACACGTTGAAGTCCTTTTTTTTGTTGGCTACATTGAAAGACACGCTCTTGGCTTTGGATTTTTCTCCAGGACCGTCCTCACTTGTTTCATCCTTTTGGGACACCTCTGTGCTGCTGGTAGAATAACTTCTCCTCTGGGGCTTCCTGTTTCCTAAGAGGTCAAGAACTTCATAGCGAAAACTTGAGATGTCCTGTTTTAATTCCTAGGGCAAGAGGAGAAATGAGTTACACTCAGCAGCTTTACCTGTGACGTGAAAGGATGATCACATTCCCCTGGGAGAGCTGCTCAGAGTTCTGCAGGCGGCTGGTACCAAGCCACCCTTACAGGAATACCACGTCTTCGTTATCCAGTGACACACAAACAAGGTGCCTTGGTAATCCTGAGAACGGGAGACCTCACGAGGTGTTTGTCTCCAAAGCCTGTGGGACCGACCCTATTGACCAAACCCTTCCTGCCCCCCAAAAAAGTCAAATAAATAAGACAGTTTTAGAAGAGGGGAGACACTGCTGAAACGTAGCAATGCGGCAGGGATGCTGCGTAGTCGATAGGCCCAACTTTAACGCTGTTGGTAAGTGCTCTCCGTAGCCATTAACCCAGACTCATTCTTTGTCTCTGTCTGGGTTAGGATTAGGATCGTGATGTTGACTCAAGTCAGATCCTTCATTCCTACCATTTTCCAATGCTTTTGTTTATATATCATGTTGTATATTAAAGTCGGGGGGGTGATCACACGAGAAGACGGTCTAATAATAATATTCTCTGCTCAAACAAGCCCCCCATCGTACGTATCCCCAGCTCCAATGACACTCCTGTTGCCGCAGCGCTTTTACAAATCATCCTGACAAGTTAGTGTGAACTCTGCAAGTGGCTACTTGAATTAATATAATAAATTATTATTAAGGAATAATAAATTACCTTGAAATTCTCTTCCGTTAAACCTTCGTTGGTTTTGGAAGTTCTTATCATTGCTGCGACGTACCTTTTCACAAGATTTCTTATCACTTCCTGGAATAGGAAAGAACACGAGTGATTCAGCTGCTGGCTCAGACCAAATGCGTTTCGCTGAGCTCTTACCGACAGCGGCTGCCCTGACTGCTGTCTGAAGGGAAAAATCTTGTACCATTAGAAACAGAACGCTTTCTTTTAAACAGACCAACCTTTGGAAAGGGCTGTGTACACCTTCCCTCCTGAATGCTCACTCTGTTAACTACAGTGAGCAGGTATTTTGTACTTTGAATGGCTTGAGGACATTACATCTCAGCTGCTGAAGGTTTTTAAGATTATCAGCCTCATGTGTAGAGGCTGCGTATCCTGCTAGGCTAAGCTTGCCATTTGAAGACTGTTTATCGAGCGTTTGAAAGCCAAGGAGGGTATGTTGACAACAAATAACCTGAAGAACAGCCAGGACCCCGTGGGGCGACGCACAGTCACGTTAAACCACATCTGCCAGCTGCCCGGGCGCTCCCTAAGGGCAGCTGAGAAACTCTTTTCGAGGCTGCGGCAGCATCGGTGGGCAGAGCTGGCAGGGCTGAACCACAGCCCCCCGGGGACCCCTCTAAGGGCTCTCGCTCCTCTGCGTTCCCTGGGCTGTTTGTTACAGCACAGACCCGTGGCAGGACGAGAGCCATCGCGCTCTGTGTTCGTGAACCCCCTTGTTGGTGTCACATAAGCAAACTGGCGCTTTGAGCTCGTAGATTTATCTGTGCCGGCCAACACACGCAGAGGTTGATCTCTGTATACAGAGGGGACTAGTCCAAACCTTCCCTTCGCTTTTCCCTTTTCCTAACTAGGGATAACAAGGCTGAGCAACACCGAGCAGGAAGACAGTCTCCGCACCAAGGTTCCATCTACTGGGAGGTTTTTTTAAGAGATCCCACTGCTGGTACCCATAAGCTGTGCTGTGAAGTCAGAAAGTACCAAATTCCTGTTGTCAAAGGTGACTAATTATGTTAAACATCAACTTCAGATAAAAATACTCTTCAAAAAGCAGATGACTTAAGTAAGACAAATTACTAATGGCTTTCGACAGCATAGCCTAACGTACCACCGAACATTCTGGAGAATTATTTTTTTTTCCTTCCTGAATTCAAGTACACCGAAGCTGGTGTTTTTAATACAGTTTCATCCTTTTCTAGGTTGATTTTAATGAGTACTTGATGACAGGCATGCTGAGAATAAAGAAAACCAGCAAAATTCAACAAAGAATCTATTCCTCCTTCCTGAGCGGCCCAAAACAAAAGAAAATCCCAACCACTGTTTGAGTCAGGGGTGCTTTACAAAAAAAGAGCAGGAGAGGAACAATTCAAGAGTGTGTAAAAACGGTGCAGAAAGTTTTAATCAGGATGGCGTGACAGCCTCGTCCCTCTGATGGCAACGGGTATGTCACCTTTGACTTCAGCAGCCAGGCTGGGACCTGGCAAGTTTTCCACTCCTTCAGAGGGGGTGAAAGGCTGGGAGTGATTTACTGAACCATCCCACCTCTAATGAGGAAATGTTTTAACCCATGGTAAGCAAAACCCTCTTAGAGGACCCACGCTTATCAAAATATATTCTAGAAGCAAGCAAGAATTGAGGTATTAGAAAAGGAGCAGGAAGAAGAAACAGCAAGTAAAAGCTTTATGTGCCCAAGAGCTTACCTGGTAATGTTGATTCTGAATCAGGTTGTCAGCATGCCGCTCCTGGAAAGAGAAAGGCACAGGTATGTTACCTGTTTAGTCCTGTCTTTAGAGCTCCTGATGGCTCTTGGCAAGTTACGACCCAGCAAATCTTCCGCTGCACCAGCAGAGCCGTGGCCCTCAGGATCCTGAGCATGCACAGGCACCCTCGAAAAATGAAGCATGAAACCATGCAGCTCCTTACTGTGAACGTTTTGAGGTTTTTGTGCCTCTTCTGTTCGTTGTAAGAGTCGTTGCCTGGGCAGAGCTGATTGTGAATCCACTTGCAAAGGTACCAGACGGACTTGGGACTTGGGACAATGTTAAAAGGAGGGGGCAGGGTGGCACCTTCATCAAAGTAACTCATCCAGAGCTTCGTCCGTGCAAACTTCCACTCAATATCCGCGTGGTCCTATGAGAGAAGGGAAGAGACTGTCAACAGCTTCAGACAGGCTTTCCTGGAGCAGCTGCCCGTGGCTGGGGAGGTGACGTGAGCAACAGAGGGTTTCTCCAGCTGCAGGCCAAGCAGTATCGCTTCTTCCGTCTCCCTCGCTGGGGGCGTACCGAAAGTCAGTGTGAAATGTGGCTGGAGTGTGAAAATACTGGCCACTGAGAAATGAGATCATAGCAATATGCAGCAAAAAGAATTTCACATGCTAAAGCCCAGCTTCGTCCTTTAGAGGTTGTGCTTGTTAGTTCAGCAACACAAGAAGCATGAAAACACATTTCTTATTTCACTTACTGCTAGCACTTTCATTATCACAAACCATTGTTTCTCATGTCCAGATCCAACGAATTCTCGCATTCTTCCCTGGAAAAAAGATCTTTCATGCTGTTCTTGATTTGTTTGGTTGTTACAGCAGCCGTTAATTCAGCTCTTATAAGGAAGTGACAAGTTTTCTGCGTGCCGTACTTTAAATCTTGGCCCTGCGTTATTCTTACACAAAATGGGAGGCAGTTTACTGTTTGGTTGCTTTTTGGTTGGTTTGTGGGTTGGTTTGTTTTTTTTTTTTCATTTATATTACCACCGTGCTGGCTTGCTGTGCTCTTGTGTTTTTCATCCCAACAAAGTAAAGGTGGAAAGTTAATTTTACAGCGGCACAGATAAGCGCGTGGTCCGTCCAGGCACCGGGAAAGGAATACTGAGTCTATGCAAGACTCTGACCTTGCAGGCTGCAAACCGGCGATCCCCAAATCGAGCTATTTACCGTCTAGTCTGTGGAGTCAACAGGCTGTTCTGTCCAATAACAAACTGCACATTCCCTTCAACATCAGGGGCAGAGACATCTACCTACAGCCTGCATTCAGAGGGATACTGCAGCTCTTCAAAATGGATTTTATGCTGTTTCATGCTGGTTTTCAAGTTAAAAAAATGCCACCGTTTTGTACGTTCTGCAGAAATTCTGACATTAGACAGAGAAGGAAGGAAATAGTTGGAAGCTTTCAAGCCAAGCGGTGCTGAACACAGCCTACAACAGTACCCTGAATTTAAATGGGGAACTCGTGTATTGTTATCGTTGCGGAGTACAGTGCTAAGCTGATGGCTCTGACATTTTAGTCGTTCAGCATTTGCGTTAACAGTATCTGACACGCGATGAAACCAAAGCCGCGATGATGTAGGCTAAGTAACAGCGCAAGGCTGGAGAAAAGGACAACGCAGGATTTTAGAGTTTCTGAGGAGATTTCAACCAGGAACAAGCAGCTGCCTTGCGTGAGGGATGCTGGGCTGCAGGGCAGCAGCGCTCCGAAACAAGCAGTGAAGTGTAAGACGGAGAGTTTAATAAAATATGGCTGAGCATCGTGCCCAAAAAATTACTACACTGGCTTTCTGGCTACGCTCCAGTGCTCTGACATGGGTAAAATATGCTCACATTTTGACAGTGAGGTGCAGCTGAACTCCATTTTAGCAGTGTATTCAAATTATGTGCGGCTCTGGATTTAAAACGACTGCCTCAGTGGCCCAGGAGCACATTAGTCTCTGCAGATGGTCTGAATCAGCCCAGAACACTACTATCCCCTGCCAGCTTACCCAAAGAGCTGTTTTCAAGCCGTAGGTAGGCTCAGAGAAGCAGCCTGCCGTGCCTCTTTCTGCCTCATATATTATCAGACCCCGTAAGCAGGGAAATTGCAGCATCACCATGAAGCACTGGAAGCTGATGCTGGTGGAAATGAAGTGCTGGGTGGTAAAAAAATGCAGTTTGCAGCAAGAGAACAGCCACCAAATAAAAAAAAAATAAAAAAAGTCCTGCTCATGTTTTCTTCATTTGTCTCTGCAGGCTGCAGCAAGCTCAGCAGAGCTAGAGGAGAGAGCAGGACGAGCTGGTGCTAAAGCATTTTGCAGAGGAAGAGCTTTCTCAGGGTGTGCGGAACTGCAGACACCCGGCAACACTGACAGCACTGCCTGGGGCAGCTGGGGGGTTCAGGGTAAGGCAGTAGCTGAAGGAAAGTGCAAAACCTGGTATTTTTGGATGAGAGACATGTAAATTTAAGTTGTCAATACAGAAGTAGGCGTTAATGTCCTGTTGAGGAGTCACAAGGGAGAAGGTCGCTTGGAAAATGTAAATCCACCCTTCCCTTCCACAAAGGTCCATCAAAGGCCCAGTGGCGGTGGTGGGGTGGGATCAGGTGTGGCGACGTGGCTGCAGTTTCCTTCAGCACGTTATAAAAAGGGCACGTCCTGGGCAGTGGATGCTGGATGCTGTTTGTAGAGGAGGACAAGGCAAATCTATAGTTTGGGGACTGGGAAAACAGCTTCTGGGAAAGGAAGGAAAAAAGGGGCTGAAAAAGTTTTTCTGAGTAAGTTCTTTCGTTTCAAGATAGCTTCAGGGGACTGCGTGGGCCTGACTAGGGCTGAGTGCAGGGTAGCACTGTGAAACTTAGCGGGAGTTTCTCACCGGGGAAGTTTTGTGGCTGGTCTGAACAAAGCCCTGTTGGTCCAAACGTGTCTGTGGGTGACGCTGGTGGGTGCTGGTTCAGCCCCCACCGTGTTTCCTCCTGCGCAGTCTCAGTCAACAAGCGCAATATAACCTCTCTTAAAAGACAGACCCTCTCTACAAAGCTCCAAGTACCTTTTCTTTCTCTTTGCTGCTGCTGTGAATTCCCCAGGGTTTACTCAGCCTGTCTCAATTATTCACCTTGATGTTTTGAGAACCCTGAGCAAATCAGATGAGAGCTCCTGGCAGCAGTTTTGTGTTGGAAAGATGCAGCAAAGAGACATTTCAATTTTACTGAGAAAGTCTTTGTGTGCCAGGAAACCACCATTTTCTTGGTCAGAGCTCTCTTTGGCGCTGTAAGCAGTGAAATCCGCGCACGAAACTACAGCTTTCCTAACTCTCCTCCCTGCGTTGAGTACCCAGAGTACCGTGCTCCAGCGATCATTCGATACCCGATTCAAACCCGGAGCACTCCCGAGTTACAGCCAGTACATCAGGCACTCCATGGGCTCTGAACGCGGCCCAGTGGGCCACTAGCCGTGCTCCAGGTTTTCGGTGCACCTCCCCAGGGACTGCAGGCCACGGGGCAAGATGTACATTTCCGAGAGCTGCCCGAGCCTGCTCCTGAATACCAATACAGTGACCGTCCCACCCAAGGGCCCTTCCCTTGTTCAGCCTGGGCCTGGGGGGCACCGCGCACCCCGCAAAGCCACGCAGCGAGGGGTGAGCCCGGCCCTGCTGCGGGAAGGTTGGGTGTCCCCCTGCAGCGGTGCTGCGTTAGCCGCTGATGTACAGAGCCCGCTCCCGGGGACAGCCAGCACGGATGTCACGCTGCGAGGCTCCAGGAGAAGTGGGTTTCTTAAGAGGGGGGACAGGAGGAGGCGCAGGGGCTCTGCCCCTGCCCAGGGAGCGCTGGCAGAGGGCATGCACCGAGGGGAGCTCAGCCCTGCGAGATGTGCCCTGCAGCGCTCCGGCTTCCAGCAGGATCCTCACAGACCTCTGCTGTGTTCTTAGATGACAACTTTTTGGTAACGTTTATAATAAGCTAAAGAAACATATTGACTCGCTTTGCAAGTGTGACCTTGTTGCTTTAGGAATTTAAATCCAAGTTTGGATTTCACTGTCCTCTCTTTGAGCTTCTGTTGCTCTTGCCCTTGTTCCCGTCACCATTTTCTTTCAAGCGCTGCTCATCATTTCAGCTACAAAACACTCTACTTCTTAAGAGGACCGAGCCCTCAAGCTCAAAGAACACATGAATTCAAAGAAACCAGCACTCGGCTTCTCTGTGAGAAAAAAAAAACCTGTATCACTTACTATCACAATGCGAATGTGTCATACTGGCCACATAATCCTCTCGCAAATCTCTGCCATTTGAAGTGAGAATTAATCTCCTATAAAGATTTCCCCGTGGGATCGCTGAAGCCATCTTACTGTAGCAGTTGCGAGGATTTTCTAATTCAGTCAAAAGTGATGTATTCACAGATGTGCCAGATTTTAAATAATTACCTGCTACACTAATTATCCAGGATAATACAAGCATTAATCTCCATCTCTATCTCTGTGTAGAAAATCTGTTGTTTACATTTTGTGAAATGTTTTCTATAAAGATTTCCATCACCATCTCCTTGCGGGGCCATATGGTTTAGATCATACTTTGCCAAACAACGGCCAGCTTTTCAGCTGGTACTGACCCAGCCAGCGGAGCCCCAGCAAGGGAAGGCTGTTTCAGGTCTCTGTGCGAGATGGCTACCCCTGCTGCAGCCTCTAGGGTCCTCAATCTCTTCACGTGTTTTAGTATTTCAGCTCCCCTGGGGCTGGAAAGCTGATGGAGGAAACGGCTGTTACTTTTAGCACACAGGAGCTGAAGCCCACGGCTGTCCCGTGGGAAGCCTGAGGCAAATCGGGGCACGGGGAGGGCAATCTTGTGGCTCTTGAATTACTACCCCTGAAAGTCTCCTGAGTTTACGGTCGCTCCAGGCTGACAGGATGAAATGGATTACGGCAGCTCCCTGCTCTCTGCTGTGGCACGCTGTGAGCCGCTTCGCATCAGGCTGGCGTAGAGCCATGGGACAAACACTCAGCTCAGACCTAACGCTGAGATGATGGTAACGCTCAGCAGCCAGGCACTCTGACATCTTCACACTGTCCCACTGTAAAACAATCACAAGATAACCGGTTACTTAAGCTCCTCTACACTACACAAGAGGTGCACAAGGGCTTCTGCCCCTTCCTCTGTGTTCCTGGGATGCAAATCCTCCCCACGCCCATTTGGAAAGAATAATGTAAAAAGATCTCTAGCATCTTTCTAGCTGGCACAAAAAGGGCTGTGTGTGCCTTTCTTGCGTTTTATTATACAGCAGTCAGTGGGCTAAGCTGGAAATCAGGCTGCTGCCTGTCAGATGCAGATATAGATGGCTGTGACAATGCCCTCAGGACCAAGCAGCGCGGGAAGCTTTCCGGTTGTGCCGGGAATGCTGGC